TTTGGTTCAGGACACAACTTTCAGCAAAATTCTCTCTTGAAACCAGCAATCCTAAGTAACCTGTTGGTCATGGTGCATTTGCTAAGACATGAAGGAAATTTGTGGATTAATCTCATTAAAAAAAATAATAATAACGTGAAAGTGATCGGGATGTTCTGGAAGTGGGGCGAATGCCATTCAGATTCTAAAAATATTAACTTTTCTTAACGAAACTTTTAGCGATTGTTCACCATGCATGAAGAAAATTGAAAAGGGCTTCTCAGAGAAAGTTTTCAAAAAAGATGAATGCGAAGAATTTGAAAGAGTGCAGAAATATCTTGCTTTATTTTTGCAAGAAAGAAAAATGAAAAGCATTTTTTTGGTTTTAGTATTATTTGTCATTTGCAGTATTCTAAATGAGTAAAAGAAATTCTAAACCCACCTGGACCCATAATCCAAAGAACCTTTGTCCAAATCACTGCCCGTTAGTGGAGGTGGTGGGATATGGTTGATGAAGTCTATATTCAATCTTGGTGATCGCTCAAACTGTGGCGAATTGGATCCAATGCTTCGCGTAGCCAATGGAGCAAAGTCGGCCACATTCTCATAGATGGGACATTGAGTGCCAATGCTTGAGGTGGGCGATGAAGCGCACATCTCAGTCGTCAATGTCGACGTTGGCGATCGTTCATTTACTGCCACATCTTCGTAGATTCGCATGTATCGCACTGAAATTCGCTTGATATTAGGGAGAAACTCTCAGAAAGAAGCGAATGATAGAAGATTAACAAAAGTCTCGAAATGAAACACGCATATATTTGGATCTGCATGTGTCACTGCTAAGCTATGCTTTTTGTATTATTTAAATGTACTTCAAACGACATCGAAGAAATAGAGCAGCATACTTTATGATAGGTTTTTTGAAAAATTTTCCGGTTTTTTTTTAGTAAATCGATGATGGAGTAAATCGACTGTGTTGCAATCATAATTTGGACATTTTTCTTGTATTCAAAACACCAAATTCCACAAATTTCGTCTACT